TACTTTAGCACCCTATGACTTTCGTGGTAAGAAAAGATATTAAATAAGTGGATATATCGATATCAGAGATGCTTTAAATGTAACGGACGCTACTTTGAGAAGTTATGGGCGATACAGGACACGTCAGAAATAAAAATAACCCCAGTGACGTCGCTGACGTCACCATCGTTACCTAGGACGCTGACAGTCGGTGGGCATTGCCTTTTGCGCCGTTAAATGACAGTTCCTCATACGCGATTGGAATTATATGTACAATTGTATATTAAATTGCGTTTCCGGTCATGTAATTTTTATGAATAATGTTTACCTAACAAAAAAATATAAGCACAGTCTACGAATATATTGTATATTGGACGCCCCTTAAATGTTTACAGTAAAAGCTAAAAAAAATTTTTTTTGCAGAGTTGACAAAAGCTAGAAGTTAGTTTTGCATGAACTATTGTAAAGTTAACCTCTACCATGATTGTTTAAATTATATCCCTGGGGTCAAAATTGGCCGCGCCCCGGATCAATGGTTTTCATTATGCACATACATGTGTAGAAGAAACCTAAACAAATCTTGTCGCGAGGTACAAGGCTTAGAGCTTTGATAATTGAAGCATAATATTATTTATAGGTCATGAACCGAAGTTGTTCCCAATTTTGTTACAGTTTAAATAAAACCCAGATTATATACTTGCTAAATGTCAAACAAAGTGCGTGTATCAATTTTTTTTTATGAAATAACTCATACCATTCTATTGAATACATTCTTGAATGGTTGAATTACCTTTTTTTCCTCAGCAGAAAAGTTATAATTTGCTATTTTCTTTACTTTAAGTTTCAAATTGAGACTTTTGTTGCAGAATAAGCAATGTCTTAAGTAAGGACTGTTTACACGACAACAACAGTAACTTTTATCAAATTGTATGAAAGATTATTGCTTGATTTATTACACATTATAATAATGCCTATAAGTAATAAAATAGAGATAAAAGAATCCTTAACAGAAGTTAAACACGGAAAACATGAAAATGTTGCATGCTCAATTTGAATGAACCTGTTCATGGACGGTAGTGGTAACTGCAAGCTACCTACCGTCCAAGCCTCCTAGCACCAGCTTCAGCAGAATTCACATTAAACATTAACTGGTTAACTTGAGATTTTTTTTTAACATTTGTGGATGTGTTCATATGGCGGTTATCATGAAACTTCCAATGTGACACGTTTTTGCCATTCCATGAAAAGCGGCATATTACCCCCAGGTTAAAAATTGCGTGTGCCCTAAACCAAAAGAAAATGAGTGAAACTAAATAAAATGAAATTTTGAGAGGGGATCGGAGGTTATGAAGCCTGCATACCACAGATTAGCTGTCAAAAGACAGAATTAAAAAGCAGGTAATACCCTAAGGGTGATTAAACAGTATTTAAGTGAGAAATACTGCAACCTTGAATTTCATTTTAAGTTAGATTTCCTTCTACAATAATGTATTTTGTAAGTATTTAAAAAGGGTTTGTTACGTTTGGCTTTCTTGGATTTTAAGTTTCAACGACACTGAGGTCATGTGAAAACATTCCTGCTTTAGTGTAAAGAAATGCACCAGATACCCTTTGTGAAACATTTTAGACACGAGCGGGCACCTGACTAGAACCACCGACCTTCAGTAAATTAGCTTGATAGATTCGTCACATACAAAGAATCCAAAGTCATGATGGGATTTCAACAGCAGTAAAGGAAAGATAATTTGAAGTCGACGGCCTTATCCCGACTCTGCCACTATTATAACGTATATACATATCATAATATGTAACTCCATTAGGCTAACTGGAGAAGATACTGTAATTGTCTGACCTTAATTTATACTCTATAACTTTCAATATTATTTTCTTTTTCAGAAACATGAAAACTTCTATACAGGATGTCTGAATTAAAATAAAAACAAAACGGTTTTTAATTAATAATGACAAAATAACCGTTACTTCAACAAAGAAGCGTTCGAAATGACGTCATATCATAATTTGATTTGAATGCTTTGGTTCGAGATGAGAAGGATCTTTAAACCTTAATTGCCTTTTTTCAAAATCTATGCTTTGGGGTTTTCGTATCCCCGATTGCAACCAAAACTATTTAAACAACCTCGGTAGAAAGTTATGTAAATTTCATACTTTTAGTCAAGTAGTTACTGAGCGGATGAGATTGCACACACATGCGTACGACAGACAGACGAATAGCCATCGGGCCAATAAGCTCACAGAGATTTAAAAGTTTATGTAACATTTATACATTTTACTTAGCATATATAGAAAATATTTAAGTCTAAACTGTAACCGAAATCGGGGTAAAACTGTAACAAAATCGGATAAAAATCGCTAGGTCTATGCTGTAACCCTGCACAAATCACATCGATCTATACTGTAACGTAGTTTATTTTTCAAACGCATTGAACTAACAGGAAAATAGGTTTAACTGGTCATTTACTTTTATAAACGTTTTCTAACATAAAAGACTAACGTTGTGCAGATTTTCTTTTTCAGGGCATGCATAAATTATGTCGGGATGGGAGAAAAATGCGTTGGTCTCTCGATTCAAATTTTCAAACTGTAAAATCTGCATATTAATGAGACAATATAGAGATAAATCTGCGGTGCAGGGTCTGGAGAAAAATATGACTAGATACCGGATTCTGTTCCTTACAAGCAAAGCACAAAAACATATTTTAGAAACTAAACTACTTGTAGTATGGGCCGGAATAAAAACCACCTACCTGTCCTCCCCACAAATAATCCTCCATCTTTAAAATTCTATACTGTAACACGTTCCCTATGGTGTGTTTTAGATGTAAGTTTTAATCTTGATCTAAGCTGACCTAGATTTCGATGATGTTACCTACTTTCTTGTCCTTTTATATAAAGCTATGAAATTTTGACTATGGATACAGATATTATTAGGACTTTGATATCAGCTGACTTAGATTTAGACAAAGTGACCTACTTTCTTGTCCTTTTATATAAAGCTATGCAATTTTGACTATGTGAATGGATACAGATATTATTAGGACTTTGATATCACTTGACTTAGATTTAGACAAAGTGACCTACTTTCTTGTCTTTTGATGTACAACCATGTAATTTAAGCCATGTTGTAAGAATGAAGTTTGGTATTAGCTTACCAAGACTTAGTTGAAGTAACATTATATGGCTTTTTATATACAGCTTTCACATTCTGGCGTGGAACAGATGTTTGACGTAATATGACCTAGATATTAAACAATGTTCAATGTCTTGTAATAAACGCTAGCTTTCACTGTTTTCACACAAATGGCAAGGCTGTCATCATGTAAGCGCGTTGAGGCCAATGGTCCATCGTAAGATATACTTAGTTAAAAGCAGTTGAAAACATTGTCTCGTAATTGTATGAAACTTTCAAACTGCACATGATGACATCAATAAATGTATTAAAATTGCAATCACAAATCATCAATGCAACTGGACATTTGTACTGTGTGGAATTTGGCGATAATAGTACAAGTAATTTTTAAATAAATTTAAAACGTATGAATGTAGATTTATTAAGAATTATTCAATCGCCCTTAATGGTTTAACCAGTTTTATGTAGAACTTTACTGGTCGTTTTCTCTCTGACAAATGGCTCAAATGTGCATTTGACTACAGGCGATAGAAACCTAGAAGATAAAAAAAAACTTATCAAATACAGTAAAACAGAATCCCTAAAGAAATTCCAACACAACAGAATTGAAAATGTTGCAAGCTCGGTTTGATTGAGCCTGGACGGTACTGGAAAGTGCAAGTTACCGTCCACGCCCCCTAGCACCGGCTAAAGCAGAATTCAACATTTAACACGAAACTGGTGAAATTTTGAATTTAGAAACATCCGCAGATGTGTTCATACGGCGATTAAAATAACTTATATTTGCTCTCGTCTTTATAAATACATAAACGTACACTTGTATTTTAAATGTGTATAAAGCTATATATCAGATGAAAAAAAAATGTTTTTATTTTAAAAAAGAATACTTCCAAAATGCTTGTACGAAATAAAAAGGCAATAAATTGCCTTAAAGCGAGTGGCGCATGCACACATCCATGTCTAAACGGATAAAAACCCTACTTTAAATAGCCAAACAATATTTTGTTTAGGAACATTTATTCTGTTTACTTAAATTTTACAAATGTGTTATATAACAGAGACAACTTTTTCGGATTTTTTTTTTGAAAATGGATGCGGAAGCAAATATTTTTATTATTAATTTACGCTCATATATATTGTTTTTTTCTTACTATTAGTTAACGTTCAATAAATGGTTTGTAATATTTTCATCATCACGCAATTAATTACGAAATAAAAAAAAGTGTGAAGGGGACACCGTGTTTTTCTTATTGATTTTGAGAGTGTGATTTTCAGAGGAAAAAAGGATGAATTTTGTAACAAAAATTTTAATACAGTCACATCTATTTCATTCGTTTGTATTTCTGGGACATTCATTGAAAGATTATGGAGTAATCTTTCATTTGATTCCAAAATTATTCGACTTTTTATATAAAAAAAATAAGAAGGGACGCTGTGTTTTCCTTCATTTTTTTTTTTAAATAGGAAAAGGCGCCGTGTATTATACCTGTCCGTACATTTCGGTAGTTCGTAAATACGTGGAAACACGTTTTCTTAAAATGTATTTTCTGTATTAGCGTTTTTGATTTCATTTGTATATTTCAGATACAGATAGATATCTATAAGTGTGCAAACTTGCTTATGCATTATATAAAATGAAAGATACAAGCTTGTAAATATGTTGTTGTTTTCCACGTTAAGTCAATTTCTAAGATTTACATGTAAACTTGTTATATAAAAGCAGGTGCCTTCAATTAAGAGGCATATTATTTGCTGTGCACGAATACAATAAAAAATGCCAGACATGCATCTTCACATTTTCAAAGTAGTTCTCAAAAGGAGCCCTTTACATGTCTAAATTTAACCCTTATTTCCGTTTTTATTTAAAATTCAGACTATGCCAATATGTCAACGACCGGCACTGAAAAACATTGCAGACTGTGCCTCATGCTTAGTAAAGGTGGAACAAAAGCATGTCATCATCTTCTATTAAAGCGTGTGGAAGATCTTAAACCAAGGGATCCTCAACCAAACGAATGGACACTTGCATCATTTTTGAACAGTAAAAAGCAAATGATAATTACGTCAAACCTTTCGAAGGAGAAGTATAAAGTCCTATTTCCAAACACCGGTGCTACAGTGCTTTCTAACTGGGATTTATCACTTTACTGTCACGTTCTTACTTCATACTGTGATTTGACTAGTTTAGATTGGTTGGATATAGAAAATTTGCGAACAATACGGAATGATCTCTGTCACATGAACGACGCCGAAATCACAGATCAGAAGTTTGAAAGCTACTGTGTAACGATACAAGTGATCATTGGTAGAATCTTGGAGAAACTCGATGCCAACGATTTGAAGCTAGAGCTTGACACAATCATCAACAATTTAAAAAGTGGACCTCTTTCGATTGACGAATCGCTGAAAGAAATGCGTAAGTTTTATTTGATGGAATTGGACATCCGTGAACAGTTGGAACATGGTACGTCGCTTAATCCATTAAATACTATATAAAGAATCATTTTCTTCCAAACCTTAATGACCGATTAAAATCAAAAAAGTGTTTTTATGTTAATGAATACACTGTCATACGACATGATGCGTTTTTTTTCACATACTTTGCTTAAAGAAATAACTTGCAGCGCACATTGTTAAAATATAAAATACAAATACAGTCAGTATATGATAACACATGCTTACGTTTATGCTAACGTATCTTTTTTTACAGTTTTAGAAAAACTTGAGGAACTTAGCAACAAGTTCGACCAAACAGCAAGTTCAGGAATCGATTCAACAAGGAACAATGTTGTTCCTGGTAATGGCCAATTTTTACACTAAGTCTTGTCTTTTTTTTGTGATTACATGTCAGAAAAAAAGTTCTAGCTTTAGCGAAAATATGTCACAAAGAAAAACTAATTAAATACAATCTTTTATAAATTATAAATTATTCATTTTATTTTAGAAAATACTTTTCATTATCTGGACTGTATAAGTGAAAAACAATTGCGACGTGGAAATGCGATTTTTTTCAATATATATTTCAAATGATTATTTAAATAATAAAGTATTGAATTACTGAACAGAATGAATACAATTACGTCATATTCTTAACATTTACCTGCTTTATGAATGATATCAGAAAAACAGTATTAAACAGTATTAAATTTAAAAAAATCATATTTTTGCAAATACTTCCGCACGCAAAGAGTTTACTTTTTGACTTTCGCAAAATATTTGTACGCATAAATTTCCACTTAATACAGTAATTTGATTATTTTAACAATGAAAAAATGTATGTTAACATTCAATCTATTAAAGTGAAATACTTTCTTTTCATAAAAACTCCTACTTAAAGGATAACATGAATAACACATTTCATGAAAATGTATGTGTGTCATCATTATCTATACATTTCTTTTCAAACTTATTAGACTTATATACCATTAACTCTCTTATACTTTATTTCTTACTACAGGAGTCAATATTGTTCTTGTTTTAAAAAATGTCAATGACGAAGAAGAAGAAAACATGTCTTATGTTTTACAACAGTTGTTTGAAGAAGTCATAAATGAGGACAATGGACTCAAATCCACCATACCACCCAATTCATATATTGGACTCAGAGCGGCAGTCAATAAAACATATCAGATATTTCTTTCAAAAGGATGGAAAATCATAAGCGCAAAACATAAATGCATACAACTACAAATAAGATGTAGTAATTTTAAATCGCTTGCCGCCTTGTTAAGGGAACATATTAATGGACAAATAGACAACCATCTTACAGATTTAAATGAATCATTAACAGAGTGTGTCAATGGAGGAAAGTCATGCTTTCAAACTATGATCTATAAAGACGAGTTTTGGAATGTTTTGGATAAATCAAGTAAGAAACTATGTTCTCATAAAATGACAAAAAATTGAACACCCGTATTTTTTTGTTTGTTGTTCTTGTTTCGTGTTTTTTGTTTTGTTAGAAAACCTGAAATGTATCGATTCAGGACAACTCCATACGATACTTTTCTATAAGTCATCATTGTTTGCATTTAACTGCAATTTTGGGAGATTGCGCAAGTATAAAGATTAATATATTCAATCTTAACATTCAAGATATATTACTAAATATGTTTAGTATTATATTTAATGACACATATGTTACACTTAAGTTGCAAATATATGTACAAGTTATTAGACAAATGTTTTGTGTACCACAATTAATAGTTGGACCTATCTTTCTTGTTAATTTTAGTCTCATCCGTCGATAGATTTTTATCCGAAGTCAACATCGACTTATCAAAGCAAAAGGATAACGTGCAACCACTCAATAAAGGCAGGGGGCTTATATTATCGTTAACAGCTCAAAACCTAATGTCTGGCAGTAACAAATCTTTCGAGGGAGACTGCAACAATGAGCTTCGTACTTCTCTACAATTACTGACATCAGAACTAGAATCAGAATTCCATGCCCCACATTTATCGATTCAAGGAAGTTGCTCGACAAATGTGAATTGCGAAACAGATGGTAAGTTTTTTAATTCTAATTCTAGTTTTTAAAATTAAATTTTCGAGTTTTAACTATATTCAAAGCGTCGTTCTCGTCGTGGCCGCTAGCATTTGCCATATTTTTTCTTTTTGATCGGTTGTCTTCTTGTCTTGACATAGCATTCTTTTGCACAAGAACTTTAAGTAAATCAGAATGAACTTGACGTTGATTGATAAATAATATTGATCTTGTAGGTTTAAATTTGAACTTTATTTAACTTTGCTAACACGTGGCTTGTTGTTTATGACTGATTGGTTTCTTCCTCCTCCAAGAAGATCAAATGGATCATGACTAAAGTCATATATGACTATTAACTTGATAGTCAAATTTTGAATTTTGCTTGTTTACTTTTATTTTTATCGGTTTTAACAAATGATTGGACATTTTTGAGACAACTAATTTTAGGATAACGCTTTTAATTATTAAACTTTATTTGAACTTGAATCATATATGGTCTTAAACGTTAAATCATTGTTATCTCAAAGTGTTTGCAATTATTTGCTAAAACTTTGTAAGTAATAAATTGATTGTCTTAATTCTTGGGCAGAATGCAACAGTCTAAAGGACAAAACTGATTTTGACAGTTATTTGACATTGACATTAAGGGACAAAATTTGCTAAAATTGTCTTAAACGTTGTTTCGTACTGTATGGATTTAACAAATTATTTTTCGTCTTCAAAAGAAAAATGACAAAACCAATATGTGGATATAATTTCAATTCTGACATTGATAATTTAAATGACCATGACATTGATCATGAAATAAATTAACATTTGCTTACATTGTCGTGATATTAAGAGGATATTTTTTCGTTTGCGTGAAATATGGCATATATTTTCACGAAACATGAAAATATGTTGCATTTTATCATGCTGAGTTGTTTTGTATTTATCAAATTTTTCAAACAAAACGGCGAAAGAAGTCCCTTAAAATAAATATGAGTTTTGACTCCGCCCACTTTCATATTTATATTTCATATTTATTTTAAAAAAATATGAAATATATTTGACTGATATAGCACCATATATCATGGGTAAAATTAAATAATATTATATATTCACAAAATTAATATGATTCGTTCTTACACGCAAAGTATTTTTAAAAACTATTAAATTTTGCTTAAATTTTAATTATCTATTTACAGATTTGATTTATACTAATATCCTAAAATTTTGCCGTCAGGACCATATTAATTTATCAAATTTTGCCCTAATTGTGATAATTTTATCTTGTTTACTGTTTTATTTATACACGCACTTCGATAAACAATATTATTAAGAAAATTAATTTTTCTAGTTTGACTATAATGTCAAAGTGACCCTGACCGTCATGTTCAAGTTTTAATTTTGCTTCAAAAGGTTTTGTTTTTATTCAATAAAATGGACTTTTTTAATTTATCTGAAATTGAAAAGTACTTATGACAAAGTTTATAACAGTACCGATTGAAACTGATCAATGACTAAATGGCATTGCTTCCAAGATTCATTTATTTATTTATTGTTTCTTTTTTTTTCTTTTTTTTTTTTTTTGGGGGGGGGGGGGGGTAGGTGATTCTTGAAAGCAATATTCTTTTTCTTTGACTTTTAACTATAATGACTTTGAAATATAAGAGAAAGGTGAGCTTGGCTGTGGCGATAAGTACAGTGTTCTTTTGAAGTGACATTATATTTTTCTTTTAAAAATTTGAACAGAGGTAGACCTGAATGGACAGAACAATATGATGCAAACAATTAAGAGTGGTGATGTTGAGATTTCAAATTACATTTGTATATTTAGAATATAAGGAAGGCAGTGATTGGTTTCAAGATGAAGAATATGACAAGACAGCGATCACGCAACGGTCTTTGAAAGAAATTGGTCCAACGAAAGAGGCACATGAAAGAGGAAAATATCACAGTGAAGAAAAGAAGGAAATTACAGAACAAGTAAGTTGTTACAATCAAACAATTAATATATCTCCGGCGTGTATATCAACATATTCAAGGGAAAATAATACAACCTCTGTAAGTAGACGAGCGAAAAAAACTATGTTTCAAATGTTTAATTTTTTTGTCATTTCAAATGAAAAAGAAGCTATACTCCTGATAAATCCATTGTGCCTTACTTTTGTTTTTAGCTTGGTTTAATATTCATTTTAACAAGGTAATATACAAAAAAAGAATCGCCGACCTTCCTGCTAATGCTAAGGTTTCCCTTGCACAATTTTATGCCTGCTGTATCAATCTTATCCTAAGGTAGCAGTATTTCTCTAAATAAAGCCTCCTGTTAATATCAACAAAACAACATGAATACCAATACCTTTGTTGTGCTGGACTGATATTAAGGTCACCCTTAAAGGTCAAACAGCAGACAATTGAGCATACGCATTAAAAATCATTTATTAAAAATATATAAAGTATGCCGAAATAATATAACTTTTGTTGAGCCTTTGGAATATTGGTCAACACAATATCGCACCTTACATTGCATAATTTAAAAATAAGAAATTAATTAAATAGAAATATTGGATGAAGGTTACTCTCCGTCGGTTTTAATCATTGGTCTCGAAAGTGAGACTTGCATATTTTGCTATTCCCGTGCTGTTTACAAATCAAATAAGCGCCGTTATGACCAGGAAAAACATCATAATTATTGGACACAAAAGATAGGAAATAAGACGTTAATATAGCTAAGACTTTCCTAACAATACATTTTTAGGGATGAATAATTAAAATTTTCGTTAGGTGTTAAGTGATGTAAGTAGTGCTTTACTAAAGTAAATCAAATAATGAAGCGTGGTCAAAATTTGACCCGTTGTTTATTCAGTTTTTAAATCTATCAATATTTTAAACCCTTAAAGTTCTTTAAACTTAATATAACAAGATAACTTGAAATTTTGAAATTCGCATTATTTATTCATTAAAATTATTTAATCAGTTTTCATGTTTTGATATAGTTCATTCTGGTTGTATGGTGAGTAGACTGTCTTTCCAATGTATTTTTTATACAGGTGTATATTTAAAGATGTATCATAATAAATGATGTTCTTTGCAAGCCCCACATGGGGTAACCCAATTTATTCGTTTCGTAACACAACCAGTTGTGGGTCGAAGCAAATGCCACAGTGGTTTTACAATTTTTTTTCATGCAAAGAAACGAGTATATTAGATGTGAAACCAATGTAGTGAAAAAAAGAAGAAAAATAACAATTACAAAAAAAAATTAAAAAAACCCCAAAAAAACACACACACAAAAGATAACAAACACAAAAACACAAAGAGACAAGGACGACACATGCATTCACACTTGCACTCATAACCGTATTTTTAAAAAAAAATAGTTTCAAAAGCATCAACATTATATAAAATATAATGCATGCTATTTTGGCTTGAATTATTTTTTAATTACACAAACTCAAAACAATACTTTTCAGTGTAGAAATAAGATTTTCTCAGCTGACATTTTCTTTTCAAAATAAAGACATTAATTTTCTAAAAAGACCCCAAATTTTATCAACTTTGGTAATATATTATGATTGCTACCTCTTTATCAGTCTTGAGCTGTTGTGTTATAAAGTTTTTAGCTGCAATCATCGATAAAGAAAGATCAATCATTTTACACCGATAAACATACATTTTAAAGTATACTAAAAATAAGTTTTTGCGCTAGGTAGATAATCTTTTGCAATATAGCCAAACATCATTTTTTATACACAAAGATAAAAAAGGTTCTTCATTTATTATAAAAAAATAATTTATAATTTTTTGACTTGACAATGGGACACAACCACCAAAATAGATGCTCAATGCTTTCAACATCATAACTACAAAAAGAACATAAAGGATTTTCTTTATACTTAATTTTTACTTAACAGATGATTGGTTCCAATAATCCTGTGTAAAATTCTTGTTTCTAACCATTGCAACTTGGCACATTTTGTAATTCTAAAAGGCATTTCAAGTATAATTTTCCATTCATTTTCACTAAAAGCTAGATAAATATTGTTCTACAATATTCGATACTCGTGGGCTTTGTTTTGTTTTTTATAGAAATGTTTTGCTCCATTTATGTCCGATATAATATCTTTAAAGTATAGCGGTATATCTGGGCCAATGTTTTTCTGTGGGATTTTAAAGATTATAAGAATCTTACACTGGCTGCTAGTACAGACCGGAATATCTAGCTCGAGGGTAACTGTTTATGGCGGTAACGAGGCTCTGCCGAGTTTCCGCTAAAGATTTACCCGATAGCTAGATATTTCCGTCTGTATTTGACTTTTTTTCTTGCATATTACATATCAATTATTTTCAGATTTCACGAAAATTGATACTCTCATTACGCACTTTTTATCCGGAAGTCGGCAGGGGATATAGAAATAGTCTTCGTCCGTCCAACCGTCCGTCCTTCAATCCGTTCGTCCGTCCGTCCTTCCGTCCGACATATTTGTCCGGAGCATATCTCAAAAAGTATTTGAGGTATCAGTTGAAAACTTCATAAGTGGATAGACTTCATTAAGGAGGAGTGCACTGCACAATAATAATATTATTGCCCTTTGTTATTTTTCAAAATTAATTTTTGTCCAGAGCATAACTAAAAAAGCCTTTGAGATATCAACATGAAACTTCATAGGTGCATAGATCTCACTTAGGAGGTGTGCAGTGCACAAGTATGATAACTTTTCCTTTCATAATATTTTAGTTATTGTCCTTTGTTATTTTTCATACTTAATTTTTCATCTGAGTGGAGCATAACTTAAAAAGTGTTTGAGATGACAACATGAAATGTCATAGGTGGATCTTATTGAGGAGGAATGCTGTGCGCAAGAATGATAACTTTTCTTTTCGTAATGTTTGAGTTATTGCCCTTTGTTCTTTTTTCATATTATTTTGTCGGGAACTTATCTCAAAAAGTATTTGAGGTTTCAACTTGAAACTTCATAGGTGGAAAGATTTTACTGAGGAGGGGTGCAGCACACAAGACTGATAACCTACCCTGCAGTCATTGTCCTTTGTTATTTTCAGCGATTAGTATTCACATAGGTCTGAAATCTGTAATCACTTCAGCCATCAGTTTTCATTACTAAAAGACCACTTAAATTTGAATTATTCTGCTCCAGAACATTTACATTCTTCCAATAAGCAAACACATTCACCGGGGGATGGCCATGTTGACCTGGCTCTTGTTTCTTATAGTAGCGTATGAAATTACAACTTCATTCATACCGTAAAATATGACGTCATCATATGAACGCAAATCATTCATAAAAGGCACGCGGAAATGACGTCATTTAAAACACGCGACTTGTTTAACATGGGGTGTAAGACACGCCCGTTTTACTCACAACGAGTGAAAAATGTCCATCGGTAAAAATGTTGTGAGCAACTTCCGTTCCTCGTTGTGAGCACCCATCTTTGACGTGTGACACGATAAACAAGGTGAGTTTTTCATAATTTTTGAAGATTACAGACATTTATGTAAAAATATCGAAATGCTGTTAGCTCGCGATGTGTTTTCCGAGTATGCACATGTAAAGATATTGCCTGTTGGTGGACAATTTGATGGAAATACCGTGCGACGCAGTCACTCGGTGTAGCTGGAAAACTGGAGACAACTTCTCTTTGGACCTAATTTAACATTGAAAACGTCGATTCTGGTGACGTTTTGTGCATTCTAACCTAAAACAGATGCCCACAAGTCTTCAGCGTAAAATATTATATGAAAGTCTTTATAGAAACGAAGATATACCCTTTTTTGCTTTAATCCTCGTTGTGAACACCATAGCCTCGTTATAAATACATAAATGTCTGTAATCTTCAAAAATTATGAAAAAACTCACCTTGTTTATCGTGTCACTCGTCATAGATGGGTGCTCACAACGAGGAACGGAAGTTGCTCACAACATTTTTACCGATGGACATTTTTCACCCGTTGTGAGTTAAACGGGCGTTGTAAGACAGGGTTTTCTAGCACCGGTGTAAACAGTAGATAATCCTGTCTGATATGCAAAAATATATTATATTTATAAAAGGAATTGCTTTCCTGGTAAAATTTACCGTTGAAAATTAAGATTTTATATTGAAAATTGTATATCGTATTAATAAATTCATTATAAGATAAAAACTTTCCTTCAGATGCTATTAGATGTTCTATGTTATAAACAACAGCATCGAACCACGATTTAAAATATAAGCTTTTTGAACCAATATTGTTATAAAATAAAGGATTTTTTCCGAAAAAATGATTTTCGATTGGAATTAATTCTATATATCGTGGTAAGGCTGTAAAGGTGTCCTTCCAAAAAATATTGTTTGTTTCTTTTGCAAGTTTATCAATTTGAAAGTAATGGTTTCCGCAGTGAAAAAATTTTTTTTCATATCCATTTTATCGTAAAGAATACTTTTCTTACGGGCATTTGAGATTCTTCTTTTAAACCATGGCATTTTTAATGCCATGATAAAGGCAGAAATATTTATCATTTGCAAGCCACCCTCAGCGTAGTTTATAACAACAACTGAAGACTTAATTTTAACATGTCCTTGCCAAATAAAGTCATAAAACATTTTATTTAATACACTGATTACATCTCAAGAAGGGTTTGGTAGTGAAATAAATAAATGATTTAGAGATGAGATCAAAAGCGGTTTAATAACAACATTTTTACCTATAGGCCTGAGAATTCTTCTTTTCCAGTTTTGATTAACCATTCGGATATTTTCTATTCTTTCGCTTTTTTTTTAAAACTATAATTTTACTTAAGTCAACATGAAAATTTATGCCTATCATTTTAAATTGATGTTGATTTTAGGACAATTTCCACCTTGTTTTTATACTGTTTTGAGAATATTTTATTTTTCCTATTCACACAACGTTAGTTTTATCAAAATTAACATCAAGTCCCGAAAGTTGTGCGAAATCTGACAAGATTTCCAAATATTTATTTAAAAAC